AATTCAGCCACTACTTTTACCCAAGGTGCTACACGACAACATCTAGGGCTGAAAACTTTAATGGTGTAACCGCTCCATTGGTCACAGAATTAAATTCAACTTAAAACAAATCTAAATAGTTCAAGATTACTGGCACTGGAAGATTGGCAGCTGTGCAGAAAAGTGCCTGATCCTAGGATCACAACTACATTACAATAACTGAGCTTGCCCTCTTATCTATATCCAGAGGCCTGGCTGGTTGCTGGCAAGAGGAAAAGTCCAGGGGATGAGTCATCAAGCCCCAAGCACAGAGCCCTTCAGAGCTTAGATGCAAATGGATTTGGCCAGAGTGTGGCAACAGGAACCAATTTCTTTTCCATTGCTGTTCACATATATGGGGCAGAGTGAATTCAGGGACAGCACGGGCAATGGGGCTGAGCCTCCTCCCTTCCCTTGGCAAGAATGCTCCCTGGCACGAAGGGCAGGCTTAGCGCTTGCTCCCTAGATTCCAGCTCATTTACGAGAACCAAGAACCACTGACATCCAAGCCAACCCCTGCACAGGCCCTCAGCGGGTTCTGAGAATCTAAGCTAACCTTTACTATGGCCTGTTCTTACCTCCGATCCGTTCTGTGTCGTAGTAGACGTACTTCACGGTGAGGGGCGTGAACATAACTCCCATTGTCTTACCAGGGACCCCCATGGCAGTGCTGGAGGGAAGAAAGGTTCTTAGCACAACACTTCTCGGAAAGAGTCAGAGCAACTTTTATCTAGCAAGCCTCACCAGTGCGTGAATTCCAAGAAACTCATATTCCAAATCTTCCACATTTCATGCAATGATCACAAACAGCACCTGCACATTCAGTCACATATGTGAAAGCCCAGGGGAAAGGGGGGAAAAAAGACTGAGGGGGGGAAGAGCCCCGCGCACACACACACCACTTTCCCCTCAAAAGCCTACCCCCCTCCCCCAGTTTCTGCAGCGGAAAAAACTGAACACAGAAAAAGAACTCCTATAAAATATTTTCTCTTTCAGAATGAAAAATGCTTTTTAAAGGAAGGTTTTTCACACTCAAAATGTATGCCATGAGTAAGATGGAAAACCTTTTCCATTTTTCCAGGGAAATGCAGGGGGAGCACTAAAGACAACTCTCACACACAGTTCCCTCTTAGCTGTGCTGGGTGGTGGTGGTGCACACAACATTGCAGAGACCAGCTCAGAGGATTTCTGCTTCAACTCACAAACAATGGAGGATTCTTCTGGGACCTTCTTCTGGGGCCCATAGAACTGGACCTCCTGATCCAATCTTTTTGAAACTTGGTGTGTGTGTGTGTGTGTTGAAGACAGGCACCAGCAGTTATGCTGCAAATCTGGTGCCCCCACCTAAAAAACCCCCCGTCTCTTCCAGAGAAACCTGGATCAATTCTCCATTATAGCCTACGGGGCCCATTGACTATATTGGTGCCCATAGACTATAACTGAGCCACCTGTTATGCTTTTCAGTATGATTTATAAGCTGACTAGAGTCACAGGGGAAAGTGGGATATAAATATTTGAATAAATAGTTTGGGCAGGTTGACAAAATTTAAGCAACTTAGTTAGGCAGGGTTCTGACAGTGATTGCTCCACCTCTGTTATACTTGACCTGTAATGCTGGTTCTTGTATTTCACTTGAAAAAAACAAAGTAGACTGCAAGAGTTTCTCCCTCTTAAGTGTTGATATGTTTTCTAAGGGTCAACACAGGGTGATGGTCCAAGGCCAGGTCTACAAATATGGTGGACTGGGGCAGGTAGACCGGTTCTCTGGAGGCCAGGGATACCCACATAGTGGAAAGGGGCAGGTAGAGGACAACATTTTGTGTAATGAAATTTGACTTGACTGCTTTCTCTTATAATGTTTACATTATTCTTAAAATATAGTTTAAAAGAATTCAGAGATATTTACAAGGTTATGGAAATAATCTTCTAAAAATAATTTACGCAACAGTCAAATGTAGACATGCTCACAACTTTAATGCTACTAGATTTTTTTCGCTCACAAAGTAGAGTTTTTGGTCAGAACACTGTGGAGCGAAGGGGGAACAATGACTGTTGAGACATACAATATTTAAGGGTCTTTTTTACTCTAAGTAATTTTCACTACTATATGTGTTTAATGATAATACATTACTAAAGAGTTCAGTGTTTTCAATGTTAAAGTTTAGTTTAACATCCAAGCACACTGGCAGTCTTACCAACTATGACTGTGGGAATTTCTGCACAAGCACACCTCCTTTTGTTTACTATAGAATTTGTTCTCTACCTTCAACTTTTGTTTTTCCTACCTCTCAGATGGCAAAAACTAAAGGTACCTCTGCTGTAGTAGCGCTCAATACAGCAGTTTGCAACTCTTTCTCAAGTACTGGGTATGCCGGCAATTTTTCTTATAAAAAATGAAGACAGTTATACTTTTAAATTTTACAAACACCCTACATGGTACAATTTCATATCCTAAGTTACTAATGATGCATTTTATGTTGTCCAATCAGTAAAAGTAGTTTAGGGTTGCTAGGAAATGTATTGCAGATATTTCAATTTTCTTCCAAAATTTGTTCTCGGAGAAATACCACCCCCAGCTTCAAAATTTCCAGATGATGTGGCATCTCTAGTCATACAGCAAGCTAGAATGGAGGAAGTTGACAACAGGCTGAGGACACTGAAGACTGTTCTGCAACCCCCATTTGCAGCCTACATACAAGACCGCGAGGTGCGTCCCCCTGCATGTGCTGACCTGTCACCCTGGCCTGCTTCGGCAGCAAGGCAAGCGGACCCCAGCAAGCCTTAAAGCCACACTCATTCATCTCATCTCTTGACCATGAACAGCAGGTGAAGGAGAGCAGAGGAAATCTCCACAGAAAATGCTTTTCAGCCACACAACTGGAATCGTTGCCAAGTAGGCCTGAAAGGGGATTTCTTCTGCTCTCCCTCCGCATGTCTATTAAGAGATTCTCTGAATCACTTGTTAGCTGGCAACTCTTAAGGATGCAAACCTAAGAATGTCCGAGTACTGCAGTGAAGCCTCAGTTAATTGCATGCAGCGCAATGCTGGGTTTGCCTTTCCAAGCCAATACCTGATGTAGGCCTTAATGCTCATGCGCCCATTTTGCAGACTGCTGTCCACAGTTAGGTGAATTGGATTGTGCGCTTCTCGACTGTAGTATTCATGGATCAAAACAGAGTGTTCCGTGATGTCATGTCCTGTGGCATACCTTCAAAGATACAGTTGAGATCATTATGAACTGTGCATACAAAACCTTATGCTATCAATACTGACCTTTCAAAGACAGCTACATTCTAACACAGGAAAATGTTCTGCCAGCAATATTAACAAAGCTCTGACATTCAGGATTTAGATAAATCCATAAACATTAATACTTACATGAATAGTCTATTTTAACTTCCTCATTAAAAAGCCATTTTATGTAAAAACAAAAAAAGCAGACCCAGAACAGCAAAAACATCCCCAGCACCTGCTCAAAAATCATAAGCCTGCAATTTCTAACAGCTTCATTGATGAAATGACATCTACCACAAAAGTTACCATTTAGAGTAGGTAACCAGTTGAGCACAAGGTCTCAAAATGTGCACTACTTGTGCAAATGTTAATGCACCAAGGAACAAAATGGGGGTAGGCAGAGACACGTGTTGTATTTGGAGACAGAATGAAAACAAGGCAAGTCCCGGCACATCTCGAGACTGGGAGGAGCTGCCTGGGACTCTGCTGGGGGGGTTGCACAGGTCCGGGAGGCAATGCCAGGTGCCAGCCATGCCTTTTGCCTTCTCTGTGCCACCATTCTCAGCAGTGCTGCCATGCGTGCCGGGTTTCCTACACCTGAATTTGATTTTTGGTAATGTAACCTGGCAACCTGTTTAACATAAGGCAACAATGTGAAGACACATTTTTGAAAAACAAAAGACTTACCATTTTTATAAAATATTATATAAATACGAGGCTGTCACATAATTTGCTTATGATTATGGGACAAACATCCTAACAATCTATTCTCACTGAAACCATAAATAAACCAGCAACAAATATCTGACATCTGATGAAAAGTATCAACAGAAGCATAGATGGTATGACTTTACTCTGCTCTGGTTAGACCTCACCTAGAGTATTGTGTTCAGTTTTGGGCACCACAATTTAAGAAGGATATAGTCAAGCTGGAACATGTCCAGATGGTGAGGGGTCTGGAGACCAAGTCCTATGAGGAAAGGCTGAAGGAGCCGGGTATGTTTAGTCTGGAGCGGAGACAACTGAGAGGTGATATGAGAACCATATTCAAGTACTTGAAGGGCTGCCATATGGAGGATGGTGCTGAGTTGTTTTCTGTTGCCCCAGAAGGTCATACCAGAACCAATGGATTGATATTAAATCAGAAGAGTCTTCGGCTAAGCATTAGTAAGAACTTCCTGGCAGTTAGAGCGGTGGAACAGGCTTCCTTGGGGAGGAGGTGGGCTCTCTTTCTTTGGAGGTTTTCAAACAGAGGCTAGATGGCCATCTGACAGCAATGCTGATTGTGTGAACTCAGGCAGATCACGAGAGGGAGGGCAGGAAGGGTTGCCTCAGTGCTTAGTTCTTGTGGCCCTTTCTTACACGCCCAGGGGAATGCTGATTGCCACTTTGGGGTCAGGAAGCAATTTTTCTCCAGGCCGGTTTGGCCAGGGATCCTGGAAGTTTTTTGTCATCTTCTGGGCATGGAACAGCAGTCACTGTGAGTGTGGAGGGGGAGGTATATGTGAATTTCCTGGCTTGTGTAGGGGGTTGGACTAGATGACCCTGGAGGTCCCTTCCAATTCTATGATTCTATGAAAACACACCAATGCAAGGCCTCTTCAGGCATTATATCCACACAAACTGGGAGCCTGCTGACCATGCACATCAGGAGCATATGGTCTTTCCAATGCACTCAATTACGCCCCATTGCTGTTCTGTGTGAATTGGGGAAGTGCGTGGCTTTTTCATGCAAACACAGTTTCTGTACACGTGAAACAGAACCCTGCAAAATTCAGTTACGCTGAGCCACCAGAGGAATTTACTCAGTTGCCCCCGCAGCAGAGAAACAGCATGATTTCTGCTACACAGCAAGCCCATTAAGCTAGCTACATAATAACAAAGAATAACAATTTACCATCCAAGAATAATCTCACTTGGGGAAACCTTCTTATGCAGCTCATACATATTCTTGGCAAACTCCATGTCAACGGCCACCTGGAAAAAAAGCAAAAAAAAGAATCTGCAGCAACAAATTCATTTGGCCTGATCTAGAATGCTGATTGGCAGCACCTCTTCAAGACTGGAATCCTTTCCCAGCAGTAAAGACGAAATGCCACTGACTGAACTTTGCACACTGTGCCTATGAAGATCCTCTGAATCACTTGTGAACTGGGAAATCTGCAGAGCACAGACACAGGAGAACCGGCATTTCTGCCTTGCTCTGCCCTTTGAAGGAGAACAGCTACCAGGAGAGGCAGACGGAAAAGGCAAAGGGAGGAGCAACCCAGACCTGCCCTCTCAGGCTGCTCACCCTGGCTGCCTTCCTTTCCTTGATCTTGTTTCAAGGGGCAGCTCGTGCACTATCCTCCTCCCCATGGAACAGATGGTACTCGTGGGGCTGTTGCAGATCATCGCTAGTAGGTCCAGGATCCTGTATACAGCAGCAGTGTCCAGTACTAACAGTGGGGCAGCAGTCAAGCGTGTTTACAAAAACCTGTGTCAGTGTCTGTGAAAAGCTTTACAACCCCCCCCCCCCCCGTGTTCAGATGGTGTCTGTTTGGCACCCTCCGCTCACTTCTAACATTTTGCTTAGGGGGATGTTCAACCTCAGCCATGTCAATACAAGGTTGTGGTCTGTAGCAGGGAGCCAGCCCTCCAACAGGCACAAGGTGGTTCTAAGTGCCGCCAGGCTGCCACGCTCTTTGCTTGCTCACACACATTTTTGTCTAGGCTCAGGAAGGGATGGGGCTCCAGGGAAAACTAATGTATTTAGTAGCCCAATTGCTGGCTCACAACTTTGATGCCAGTGGCTCACCAAGTAGAACTATTGCTCGCAAGACTCCACAGCTTAGAGGGAGCGTGGGTTCTATAGGCATGTTACGGGCAGTTGGCAATCTTGGGCCTTTGCAGGCTGAGCCAAGGAGACTGCAGGGGTGTCAGAGGAGAGCTGGGGGGCGCCCCCCCTGACTGGCGCTCACCTCATCTTCTGACTCGTTGTGAGGGACCGAGAAGCAGTTGGTGACCTCCACCGAGTGCTTGTCCACCGTGCCTGTGGAGTGAAGGGAAGAGTCAGCCACCCTGTCCTGATAGAAGGGCACACACTGGGTGCACTGTTCCCTCTTAAGCTGAGTGAGCGTGAGCCAGCTCACAGCTTTTTAGCTTCCGGCTCACACACTGTTTGTCTTTGCTCAGGAAGGGATGGGGCTCCGGAGCAAACTGATTTATGCAGGGGCCAAACCTCTGGCTCACCACTTTCATGCCAGGAGTTCATAAGGTAGAATTTTTGCTCACAGGACCCTCCACCGCTGAGAGGGAACATTGACTGGGCCTCTCGTGCCGACCTCCCAAACCGCAAGGCCAGGATTTTCCTCCTCTTTGGGAGACGGGGG